CTATCTCAAAAAAAAAAAAAAAAAAGAAGAAAGAAAACATTCTAGGTGATTCACTGACATATGGAATTTATAGTTTAGTGAAGATGAATATATATGGACTTAACTACAACACAAGATAGTAAAACTTGTACTCCAACCATGGTCCAAAATGCCTTAGAAGCACAAGGAAATTACAAATTCTGTGGCAAGAGGAAAATGTCACAAGCTACCATCTGAGAGGCCTGAAGGACTTCAACCTGTTCTGATAGAGAAGAGGTCCAGGCAGTAGGAAAAGCCTAAAGGAAAGGAAGAGGCAGAAAATGTTATATATGTGTGAGAAATAGGAAAACAACTGATTAATTCTTGGTCCCTAAACTATTACTATTTCAAATATCTCTACCACTTATATAGTTTTAATGAACTTATCCTAAAGAGCCAATGGAGGTCAGCATTTTATTCAGTGAATTCCTGAAAATATGCAGATGATTATTAGCAGAGTGAATTAGTTGTTATCAAAGAAAATGTTCACAATTCATTTTGAGGACTATAACCTCATAACATAAAATGGAAAAATGCAAAATCAAACCATCTATATGGTTGTACTATGTACACCAGATAACTCTAGAATTAGAAGAGACTTTAGGGAAAATCTAGGTCAACCATGTGACCTAAACTATCAGGTTCTACCTCCCAGGAATTTAGGATCAAGGCTCAATAATATAGTTCCTCCTTATGAAGGGACACATAAATACTCAGGAGCTGCTGAGCAGCCACATCTAACCATGAAGAAAAAAAAAGAAAAAAAAAAAAAAAAAAAACACCAGCAAAGAAAGAACAGTGAAGCAAACAAAGACTAGAGACAGGGAACGTTCTAGATTTTCCAGTCCCTGATCTCAGGCCCTAAATGAGGTCTGCCTGCATTTGACTTCCAATAGTTTTCCAACAAATTCCTTTCTTCCTTTTTGCTAAAACTAGTTCATTTCTGTTACTTGCAACAGAAGCTTAACTAAGGCAATAACCAAAATCTTTCATAAAGTCAATTGTTTGATGAATTACTGATCTTTTCTGTACTTTCCTTTTTTGTACTTCCCTTAAAGCCATAAATATGACTTCAGCATACTCTACAGACAAATATACGAACAGGGATGAGGGACTGTGCTGAGCAATTTTTTTTTTTTTTTTCTTTCTGAGACAGAGTTTTGCTCTTGTCACCCAAGATGGAGTGCAGTGGCATGATCTTGGCTCACTGCAACCTCCGCCTCCCCGGTTCAAGTGATTCTCCTGCCTCAGCTTCCTGAGTAGCTGGGATGACAGGTGTCCGCCACCACGCCCGGCTAATTTTTGTATTTTTCATAGAGACAGGGTTTCACCATGTTGGCTAGGCTGGTCTCGAACTCCTGACCTCAGGTGATCCGCCTGCCTCGGCCTCTCAAAGTGCTGGGATTACAGGCATAAGCCGCCACACCCAGCCTGTGCTGAGCATTTTAAAAGGAAAGTCCAGGCCGGGCGCGGTGGCTCAAGCCTGTAATCCCAGCACTTTGGGAGGCCGAGACGGGCGGATCACGAGGTCAGGAGATCGAGACCATCCTGGCTAACACGGTGAAACCCTGTCTCTACTAAAAAATACAAAAAAAAAAAAAAAAAAAAAAAAAAAAACTAGCCAGGCGAGGTGGCGGGCGCCTGTAGTCCCAGCTACTCCGGAGGCTGAGGCAGGAGAATGGCGTAAACCCGGGAGGCGGAGCTTGCAGTGAGCCGAGATAGCGCCACTGCACTCCAGCCTGGGCGACAGAGCGAGACTCCGTCTCAAAAAAAAAAAAAAAAAAAGGAAAGTCCATTATGGCCAGGAAAGAGAAAATACAGAATATTCAAAGTAAATCCTTGATATACAGCAATAAGAAATGCTAACGACTGGCAAATTAAATAGCTGATTACCCTCCCATCCAAATTCAATTTAATCTGCTAAATCAGATAGGTAGATCCAACTCAATCTTCTCTGAGGTAAGATCCAAAGGTGATAACCCATTATAGGCTATTTCATCTGGAATGCTTACAGATAACTAGCCTTCCCAACCACGGGAATGTCTGGGTGCTCTCTGGCAGTATCCCTAACTCAGACCTAAATAACAAAACTGAATATTAAACTGTCTTAAGGCCTGGGCTTAACTATCCCCGAAAAGCAGTTAGGCATTTACCCTATGACATAATCAGCACTTTCCGCTATTAGATGAGGAAGAAAAAGTAATAGACGCTTAACAGGGAATCTGTCCAGGTATGTATGTATCTTTGTGCATGTTCCAGGTATTCACACAATACTGAGACAGATCTGGACTATCCAAAGCTGGACCACACCCATCACATTTGGCTATGGTAGACCAGTTTGACATGTATAGCAAGTCACAGGCTGACAATCAGAAGTTTGAACCACATGTAGTAGGTGGCTCTGCAGAGTTATATAAACAAAAACAATATTATAGGATCTTGGAGTTAGAAGAGACAGGGAAACTGTCCAACTTAATAATTTTACCAAGAAGCTAAACATGGGAATCAGATTCATCAACCAAATCCATAACTATGATAAATTAATTACACAGGTACAGAAAAATTAGAGGGATTGTGACCAGATTATGACAGAATCAAAAATGCAGTGGTGTGATCACGGCTCATCACAGTCTTGATCTCCCCGGCCCAAGCAATCCTCCCACTTCGGCTTCCCAAGTAGCTGAGACCACAGGAGTGAGCCACTATGCCCAGCTAATATTTTTTAAATTTTTGTAGAGACAGGGTCTCCCTATGTTGCCCAGGCCCGTCTGCAACTCCTGGGTTCAAGCAATCCTCCTGGACTGGTCTCCCACAGTGCTGGATTACAGGCATGAGCCACTACACGTGGCCTTAAAATCTATTTTTAATTAATAAGTGGCATATGTATTAGAAAAACTGATGAATCTTACTGTTGGGATAGTCTTTGGATATTCTTTTGAGTTGAGCAAAACAGTAAGGATTTCTGACTTAATGGATTACCATCTTAGTTAAAATACTGGAACAAGCACTTTTAAAAATAAAAAGCAATGTGTTGATTCAAAATCTCAATTACATTGTATGCTGCAAACTTGCCAGACAGTTTAGGCACTGTGACAAAATTCTAGATGGCAAAGAGCTACTTATCTTAATATAAAAATTTCCAGATATTTGTATACGACCCTAATATAAGTCATCAGAAATTAGACTGATATGTCAGCTGGGACCAAAATTAAAAGAATATATGTTTAAATGGCTCAAATATAAACTTGGTGTTCGAAATTACTGGCAAGGGGCCAGTACAGTGGATTTTGGTCTTCGAAGGCCAGTTCACCACAAGTATTAGATAAGCCAACACATCACTGAGGAAAAAGAAAGCATACATGTATTTCCTGGCAATAAAATCCACTCTTCGCTATCCAGCACAGTATTTTTTAGAAATCCATTGATAAAATGTGAAATTAGAACCTGTTGTATTTCCCAAGAAGTGCCATTAAAGTTACTTCTAAAATACGAATCTATAAAAAGCAGGGGTTTTTTGAAAAACAATACTATGCAGAAACAAATTTGAAACCGATATCACTGCTCAAGTTACTATTTACAAATTGCAAATTTAATAAAGTTAAATATTGTAAATATCTGTCATTAATCTGAACTGACAATTTTATAAGTTATATGAACCCTGAAGATTTTTTATAGACAAAATTGTCTTTGAAAATCGATTTTGCCACCAGCGCTGCAAATGAAAAAATGAAGAGATAAACCAGAGAGTACTGAAAATAATCTATGCTTCACAGAGTCAGGTTTCAACTAATTTATGAGTCCTAGTTTGCCATATCTTATTTGACAATTTAGTCTATTGGTAGCAAAAACAAAAGCAAACTGAAATCTCCTAAGTAATCTCAGCTCTAAGGAATTATAATTTATGTTCTTCCATTCCAGATAAAGTTAAGAAGCAAGAAGCTTTGACGACTACTCATCACAAATGTAAAAGTCCATGCAATTTCCCATTTACCTTTATCCCTACCTTTGTACTTTCAAATAACTGTTTTAAAATAATAATCTGATATTAAATTCCCCCCTAGTATTTTCCACATGATTCAAGAAGATTATCTTATGAAATCTTACTGTAACGACTTCAGAACTGCCACTTCCGATAGCTATTAGCCCTAAACCAAATAAGGCAGGAACAGCACTTTTCATTCATATAGTTTGACTTGAAATAGTCCAGTGTAAAACTTCAAAAATAGACTTGGATGCCATTTTCTGCTTAAAAACAAAACAAAACTGATACCTGGCAAACTAGGGGTTCTGTTCGATTTTGGCCTGTGAAATGCCAGCCGAGCCCGCGGTAGTCTGGCCCAGCAGCGGGGTAGCAGCGCACTGAGGGCGGGCGGGCGGCGGGTGCGCCCCTCCCTGCCGCCTGCCCGGCGCCCCTGTCCTCCCCGAGGCGCGCGGCGAAAAGCGCAGGCCTGGCGGGCGGGTTCCCACGCCCCGGGCCCGTTATCCGAGCGGCAACCCTGGCAGGGCCGACGCACGGAGCAGAGGGCTCCGGGATGGACCCCTCCCCTGCCTCCCGCGGGCTGCCCCGCCAGAACCCTCTCTCGGGGGCCCGCGCGGGGCGAGAGGCTCCCGCGGGTTCAGGTTCGCTCCCGGGACAGGATAAGGTGTCAGTGAGGCTGCCAGACGCCTCCCGTCGGCGGGTGTGGGGGAAGCCAGCCCTGACCTCCTTCCGTTCGGCCCCTCACCGCTGGCGCGGGGCGCAACCCTTCTGCTCCCCTTCTCGGCTGAGGCAGGGGCTGTCTCCGCAGGCAGCCGAGGGGGCGCAGCAGGCGCGGAATGGAATCCGGGCTCGGGGTCACACCCTAACGTGGCAGGGTCGGGATGGGAGGGGTGAGGCGAGGAGGGGAAGAGAGGGTAGGGGAGCCCGAACTTACCGGACTGCGCACTTCCCAGAGCCGCGGCCAGGCAGAGGCAGAGGCAGAGCGAGAGGGGGCGCGGGAGGGTCCGCCGCGAGCTCATGGAAAGGCCAGGCAGCTGCCGCCGCTGTCCGAACCTCGCTCCCTCCCTCCCAGGCTCCGGGCGACGGACGGGGCGGCAGGAGGCATGACGGGAAATTCCTGGGCACGGGCAGCCGAGTCCAAATATGAGCATAGGAGACGAGCGAGGGAGGACCACGGAGCGCGCCGGCCGCGGACGGGGCCCGCTGCCCGGGGCTCTGCGGCCGCCAACTCCCTCCTCCTCTGCCCTGTCCTCTTCCTCCTCCTCCTCCTCCTCCTCCTCCTCCTCCTCTGCGCCGTCCTCCTTCTCCTCCTCCCCCTCTTCCTCCTTCCCACGGTTGCCGGCCGCCCTCTGCAAGGGGGCATCCCTTTCCAACTCGGGACCTCAGAGCACAGCCGAGCGCCCACCTGGCGTGTTCCACCTGAGACCGCTGAAGGAGTGGGAAACAGACAAATCAACACGAAGAGACCGGACAGCGAGCCAGGGACTTGTGGGAAGACGTGTCAGGAGTTGAGAGCGTTGGTGGTGAGGGGATAAAAAGTTGTGGGAGAGTGAGGTAGGAGCAGCGCTGCCAGTTAGTTACTTGGCCATCCTATATATACCGAACAAGCACTCACTATAATACGCGTTCCAGGTGAGCTGGCCCTCTCTAGCAGAGGAGGGTGAGTGTGTGTGTGTTCTTGGCCAAAATTGCAAAGGGGCTCGTCCCAAACTTATATTTGAACACCATATATGGAGCCCAGGCAGGCTGGCTGAACAATAGTTTTTCACAACAAAATGCTTAAGTTTACACTGGTGTTTCTATCCACGTGGCTCCAATCTCTATTCATGTCCACCCCCCAACCCCCTCCACACACTTGTTTTGTATTTACCGTAACTTGTCTAAAATGCAATGCTCTAATTCATTCAGAAGGTGCCACCTCTGATGAACAAAACTTCAGTCCTATGTGTTTAATTACAGGCCCAAGCCTGTAATTGCCTGAGTTTTCCTTGGCACTGATAACTCCTTGGGTAATCAAGTCCAAATGGCCTTTAACTTTTCAAGACAACATAATTATGTCTTAATTACTATATTTTTTCCCTGAAACTAATGGGACAGGACCTGGAGATATAGCGTGTTAAGTAGTTACAAACATTTTAAGATGCTAGATGATACAGAAATGATTTATTGATCCAAAATACTTAAGGGGTAAATGTCAAACAGATTTAGAGTGTGGATTATTTCATCATGAACCAAAGTGATGGTAATTTGTACATCACACTATTTGTTTGAAAATGCTATATTTGAAAATCAAAAACCTTGTTTCAAATCAAACTCAATTCTGGCAAAGTATTAAAACACATACACCAAAAAACAGTCCATTGCAAGTAGCTCACCTCAAAACATCTGGCACTGAAAAAAACCACATCCTGTGAATTAAATATAGCAAGTGGGCAAATGTCATCCTTAATGCATTGGCAATTATAATGGGACTAAGGGTAGATGACCCAGATAAAGTAATGGTGAATAAATTGTAATGCAACGAATACAGAATTTAAATGACACATAAAATGACTAATTAGGAAGCTAGAACCTAGGTAGTTGGAAATACTGAAGAAACTCTTCAGTATTCCCTCCGTTTCCTCTTTTTTTATAGCCTTGTGTTACATAAGTGTCTGTTTTTCTACTTCCCCCACAACACCTTGCAAAGTTCTTTGCCCGTAGTCCAAATGTTTGTTTAAAAACAAAAATAAAATGGACACAGCCATTTGTAGAAAGGAATATAGGAGCTCCCTAAGTGTAAAACATATTCCAAAGGCTTGCAATAATTATGGCTATATTTAAAATATTTTAGTGAAGAATCTTACATGCAAAAATATAAAATTATAAATAATTATAAATAATACAATATCATTACAACCTAATTCATGTTAGTAAAAATACAGAGTTCATTGTATCAACATAGCTGACATCACTGTCAGCAATGCCAACTGCTAAAGGCTTGAATAAATATGCTAAGCGTGGCAGAAAAGAACAAAAGTTACTAAGTGCGTGATAAGAGCTAGACTGTGCTAGATGTTTTTTATACCTGATATCTCATTTAATCCTTACAAATATATCTGAGATTATTTTTATCCCTATTTTACAGCTAAGGAGGCTGAGCCATAGATAAGTAATATGCTACCAGGAAGAGGTGAAGTAGTATTAGAATTAAATCCTCATTCTAAGTGTATATGTATTTTACCATACTAATCAGTCTTATTTTCTCTACATTAAAAAAAAAGTGGCGTTCAAAAACTGTATTCGTTGGGCTCTTGTGGTTTTAAGTAACTGGTATGCACTCAGGTTACCTCAAGTAACCGAGGTAAAGAATACATGTGGAAATAAGACCAGAGGCTTACCTGGTGTGTCAGATCATCCTTTGTGGGCATGGTGGGTGGGGCCTGTGCCTTTGATAGCTAGGGAAACAGGAAAGGTACCACCCCCTTGCCCACATTCCTATGAGTTTTGTAGTTTAACCATTGATACTTTAATCATATATTTTACAATGCTTTTTAAATGTCTTCTTTGTTATAGCCTTAATAACAATCATGTTACCATATTCCGTTCAACATTGATTTTAAGGCAAAAGACCCAGAGGAGGTAGCTGCTTCTGGCTGCTTCCTGCACCATCCCTCCCCCAACCCAGTGGTGTGCTGGTAAACATTTAACAACCAGATCTGGATGAAAGGGGTAGGGGCCCTTATCTACAGCATTAACCAATTCACATGGTACAAATACTCCCACCAACCAGATGTCTCTGAAGGCAGGGTTGGGAAGGGATCCACACAACCAGTTTTCGGGGCCATAGAGCCAGCTCTGGCATACCACAGCTGCAACTCATGAAATGTCTTCAGAACACAGAATAATTCAAGTTGCATAACCACAGCTCTTTGTCTCTCTGCCTGTGTTTCCACTTCTGTTCCCACAACCAGGTGCCAACTCTCTCCATACATCTCATAAACAAATGCCCCGCGGGGGAGAATCTGATTCTATCACCATTCTTATATTGAGTCTGTCTTATAAGCCACTGAGCAGCCTATAGAATGGCCGCCCCCGATCCAGGTGCTAGTTCTTCAGTTGTGGCTAAGATGGAAAGGTCATATGCCAACAGAACATGGCCGCCCATCCTAAAGGCCTGTGTTGCTGTCTTTTTATAGGGCTGTGCTTGGGGCAGCCTCTTTCAAAAAGAATAGGTGAACATGACAGGCATCTAAGCTGTAACCTCCCCAAGGTGCTATTCTCAGCTCTTTAATAAAATCTCCTCAGACACTGCACAAAGCCTTGGGACAGCCCCCACTTCACATACCCCAAGAAACATCTTAGGTGGATGCCAACAACTGCAAAACAAGTGCCACTGTTCTAAACCAATTAATGCTCAATTGGACAGTAACAGTAATACCTCTTGGGGGATGTAATTCTTCAAACTACACTCAATACAAACTCCCCAAATTCTGTTTTCACACCATGAGTACTGACTGGCTAAGGGAGACGCCTGAATTTTTCTCTCAGATTCTGAAAAATGATCTCCATTGCCATGACACCGTCCAGCCCCCAGTCACCAAGTGCGTTAAAATAATAAGCACTCACTACCAGCAAATCAGGTAGGACTCATAAAGCAGAGAGAGAAGACCAAATTAAAGTGACCATTTTCCTTCTTTTCACAGTAAAGTGATTTGCCTGCATCTCCAATGATGGTATTTTCTGTTTGACACAGTCGAAGCTATCCCTTTTGTTGATAAATTCTGGAGAAAGTTGAAGTCTATACTCCCGTGATTGATGTGCTGCCTGACTCTGCCAGATTTTGCTTTGGATATGCTGCAGTAAGTAATAAATATTTAACAAGATTTTCCATATTATAGAGAATTAAGTAATCGTCTCTAGACCAACAAAGCTGCTTGGCTTTTGGCAAGGTTTTATAACATAAAGCGGAATAGGCAAAAATCAACTACACACACAGAGAATAGGGCAAGGGGAAGAATTAACTTTTTAAGTGGTACAGAAGCATTCACTCAGTCTCTGTTCCTAAGTGCTTCTTGTATTGCCAGCATCTCACCCTATGGGTATGTATGTCCAATTCTAAAGGTGTGTATTTTTCAAACAACTTGGCCCTAACTGCAGATCAGTTCTTTTATCTATTGTTCAGACAAAATGGCTACAATCTGGTCCAGTGGTAGAGGAAACTCTAGCTGTGTTAGGTTTTCTGGGAAATGGCATGTTGTTTTCCAAAATGATGACTCAAGGGATTTTCACCCTGCAAGCTGCTGTTACAGCTCAACGGCCACATAAGAGTCAGGACCACTCAGGAGTCAGGGACTTGGGCTTTGGTATCAGATACATCTATCCAAGTGTGGCTTCTACTATGAAAGCTTTGGGACAATGGGCAAGTAACTTCTCTAAAGCCTTGATACTTGTGTCTATAAAATGGAACAGTGAAGGTACCTACCACATACGGTGCTTAGCACTTAACCCCGTGCTAGCGCATGGTAAGTCCTTAATACATATCAATATAGTACTAATATTAATTTTTGTTATTGCTTCCCGACTTTCAATCACTACAAAGTCATTCTTTGCCTTTAAAGCCTTATCTGATATGATTTTCCTCTGTCTTAAATGAGTCATGACTCAGTTTCTCTTCACAGCTCAGAATCCTGCATTTGTATTCATAATTACTTCTTAAGGAAATCTGTTCAGATTTAGTAATCTCTTCAACATATTTTTCTTCAAAATTTCTTTTTATATTTACATCTAAAGTTACTAACAGTAATTATTTTTATAATTTTAAAAAATTTTTAACTCCTTCAAAGCAATAATATTAGAAGACTACACACACATTTAATGATTATTCAAACTATTTTGTGAAAACTACTTTAAGAATTGCCGTCAAAATATATGATGCAATTTTTAAAATATCTTCAACAAGGGAAATCATCTTTGCAGTCATTCATTCATTCACTCAAATATCAACCAAATATTTGCTATGTGCTAAATAGACAATAAACAAGATAAATCAGTAAAATATTTAGTAAGTTAAAGAGTAGTAACTACTGATAAGATAAATAAGGCAGAAAACATTGCTAAAAGTGCTGGGGAAGTGACAATAATGACCTGAAAGAAGAAAGCAAGCCATTCAAATATCTGGGAGAGGAGGGAACAGCAAGCAAAAGGCTGCACCCAAGGTGAAAGCAGGCCTGCTCCGTAGGAGGCCCATCCTGGAGGCCAGGTTAGGAAGTAGATGGTAAAAAGGGTAGTGAGGAGATGGGGAGAGCATTAGGAGCTGTGGTCTGGGAGGCAATCTTGTAGGATCTTATGGGTCATTATAAAGACTTAGGTTTTTATGGTGAGATGGGAGGCTATCACAGCGTTTTCAGTGGAGCAGTTACATTACCTGACTCACATTTTAAGAATAACTCTGGCTATTCTGATAAGGCATGTACAGACCTTGTTAGGAGGTCTTGAAATAACGCAGGTGAGACAGGAGGTGATTTGGAGTAGAGAATATTCAGTGGTGGTGGTGGAAAGTGATTAAATTGCAGATATATTTGGAAGGAGAGGCCCATTAGATTTGCTGACAGACCCAATGTGGAATGTGAAAGAAGAAGGAAAACTTAGAAGTTTAAATTAAAAATTTTAAAATGTGATATATAAGTACATGCTGACAGAAAGTCACTTTGGAAAGCAATAGGAGTCATCATAATTTCTTGGGTGGAAGAGAGCTTAATAAAAGTAGCTTCTAGCCAGGTGTGGTGGCTCATGCCTATAATCCCAGCACCCTGACAGGCCAAGGCACGAGGATCACTTGAGTAGTTTGAGACCAGCCTGGTCAACACAGGGAGACCCCATCTCTACAAAAAAAAAAAAAAAAATTAATTAGCCAGGTGTGGTGGCATGTGCCTGTAATCCCAGCTACTAGGGAGGCTAAAGTGGGAGGACCACTTGAGCTTGGGATGTCAAGGCTGCTGTGAGCCATGATTGCACCACTGAACTCCAACCCAGGTGACAGAAAGACTCTGTCAAATGAAAAAAAAAAGAAAGAAAGAGAGAGAGAGAGGAAGAAAGAAAGAAAGAAAAGAAAGAGAGAGAGAAGAGAGACAAGAGAGAAGAAAGAAAATAAAGGAAAGAAAGAAAAAAGAAAGAAAGAAAAGAAAGAAAGAGAAAGAAAGAAAGAAAAAGAAAGAAAGAAAGAAAGAAAGAAAGAAAGAAAGAAAGAAAGAAAGAAAGAAGAGGAGGAGCAGGAGGGAAGGAGGGAAGGAAGGAATGGAAGGAAGGGAAGGAAGGAAAGGAAGGAAGGAAGGAAAGGAAGGAAGGAAGGAGAAAGAGAGAGAAAGAGAAAAGAAAGAAAACAATTCTAAAAAGTGGGCTGTGGGGAAGATCGAAAGAAGAGTAATGTTGGGAAGCTCACCCAGGCTAGTATTGCAGATACCCAGACTTGAGATGATGAGGACCCCTAGACTAAATGGTAGCAGTGAAACTCAAGATGAACAAGGAGATATGGTAGGAATAAAGTTGTTGGATAAAATACAGAGTACCCAGATACATTTGAATTTTAGATAAAAATCAAAAACATTTTTTAGTATAAGTATTGCATGGGGCAAACTTACACTAAAACATTATTCATGGTTTACCAGAAACTCAAGTTTAACTGGGCATTCCATATTTTTATTTGCTAAACCTGGCAGCCCTAGTGAGAAACTGATAAACTCACTCCCACCCCGCAAGTCCCCATATTTCAGTCAGAGGCAAATTCTGAAACAAACAAAAAACTTGTGTAATGTGACCAGTGTGAAATGGAGAGAAATTCATTGTTAGTCCAGCTCTCTTGAAAATCTTGAAGAGATCAGTAAAGATGTCAATTTTCTTTACAGATCTGTTTATTTTCCAGCCAGAGCATGAGCCTTATTAATATTGTGGCTACACTCTATTCTCAATACAGGTTTGATACTATGCTGTATAATCTATATGAATGTGTATATGTGTGCACATGTGCACGTTTAGTGTATGGGTTGATTAGCAAAGGAATTGTAGGGTCAGAGTTCCTGCTGGAGGGAATATTGAATAGGAAACATGGATTGGAGGACCCACAGTCAGCTCACCCATCATCCCCCAGTGTACACACACAAACACACACACACACACACAGAGGCAGGGATATTTTTCCCAATGTGGTCCTCACAGGCCAAACCTGTGGCCTTATGTGATTGGACAGTGTATGGTATGGGTGGGAAGGAAGAAGGGCTCAGACTATAAGGCTCCTTTCAGTGGAGGAGTAGGGACAGTTGAAAGATTCAAAGAAGGGGATCCATTTGGAGTCATAACTTGAACCTAGAGGCAGGTCAACAGAAGCATTCAGGAAGGTGACTGTGTGAAACCATAAGACCCTTGGGTGATGCAAGGGGAAATTCAAAGTAGAACTGCAAAACTTTTACCCTTGTCTCTCCTACTTTGTAATTCCATTCTGGAATTGCCTTAGCGGGGCCTGGCATCTAATTTTGTGGAGACTGAAAGGTCAAAGCAGCAAGGAGAAGAGGTATGGTTTCCAACCACTTGTAGATACAGGGAAAGACTGTGATTCACAATTGATGATTGACAGTAACCAAGAATAGCCCACAGTAAAGCTAGAGGCCACAAAAGGCCTGCAGTCCACATCCCTGGGGAGTATTATTTCTTATCTTTCCTGGGTTTTTTTCTTTTTCTTGGCAGGGTCTGGCTCTGTTACCCAGGCTGGAGTGCAGTGGCATGATCATGGCTCACAGCAACCTCCATCTCCCAGGCTCAAGGGATCCTCCCACCTCAGCCTCCCAAGTAGCTGGGCCCTCAGGCGCATGCCACCATGCCCGGCTAATTTTTTTTTTTTTTTTTTTGGTAGAGATGGAGTTTTACCATGTTGCCCAGGCTGGTCTCAAACTTCTGGGCTCAAGCGATCCTCCTGCTTCGGCCTCCCAAAGTGCTGGGATTATACCAATTGTGAGCCACTGTGCCTGCCCTGTTGAGGGTATTTTGGAGAAGACAAGTGGAAGAGAAAGTAAAGCCAACCTTCATGACTGGCTTGTGGCCTAATGAGAGCTGGCCCTGAGCAAAAGTGAGCCATGCTAACTTTTGGACATGTGGATAGTAGAGATATAGGGGAAAACTTGGCAGGACTTTGATACTGACTGAATTCTCAAGAGTAATAAAGAGATTTGCAAAGGAAGTGAGAGTCTGCCTCCTTTTGTGACTCCTCAAAGGGTAAAGGATACTTAATACATGCTGGTGACTGACCCTTTATAGTGGTAGAGGGAATGATTAAAGTGTAATTTATATGTTTCAACTCTCATAGAGAAAACAAATAGACCAAATAAACCATCAGCCACTTATCTTTTCATGATAACATAAAATGAAATAAAAATAAGAAACCTTCTAGAAACCATTTATACTCTGTTCCCAGTGATAACAGTTACAAGAACAAGTAAAATTGGCTCATGTTAATGAAAATATGTAACTGTATCACAACCAAAGCTCTGAAAAATTCAAGACATTTAATGGAAAGAGACCCAGAAGAGACATTTACTACAGTATCTGAAGTAAAAGCAAGGCATTAAAGCAATCAAAACATCTTCCAAATGAATCAAATGGAAGTCAGCTAATTTCATGTTACTTCATATCAATAAGGAAAAATATATTGGAAACTCCGTGTATTAAGTAAGCATTGATATTAGCAACATGAATGAAATAGTTCTAAACTATTTCCAACTTTGCCTCTAAAATTCCTTTGGCCTGATGGCATAACGTATTATTTCCTGTTCTTCTACTCTGTGGGAAGTAACACACCCATTTCAATCTTTGT